GTCAAGGTACAGGCAGTTTTAAAAAGAGTGTTGATGCAGAAAGGGAGGAACAGTTAATGTTTACAGTTTAAGTGGCCACCGAAATTACACGTTATCCTGAAAAATTACACTGAGCACTTGAATTGTAAACCTTTACAAATTTGTCTGTACTGCACTATCATTACAAAAAAAGCACCATATTCTTGCAATAAACTCTTCCTTTCATGTTTCATACACAAAAGGTATTTCATCTAGTTGTGTCAGCTTTAATGAGTAAAGATGAGCAACAGAAGTATGAATGAACAGGCAGTTTTACAGTTTTGGATTCGATACACCTGAAACACATAGGGTGCTCTGAAGATGATGGCAGTTTCAGAAGTTTAAGAGAAGTTTCAGCACAAGAAAAAAAATTGAAAACTTGTACCAGTACCCATGTGAGCACAGCTGTGTAATCAAATGTATATGGGAAAGGCTTATCTTGCAGGAGGAAGTCAGAGAATTGTGATCAATGGGACAGAGTCTAGTTTGAGGCCTGTATCTAGTGAAGTCCCTCGGGGGTCAGTACTGGGACTGGTATTAGTCAATATTTTCATCAGTGACCTGGATGAGGGAACAGAGTGTACCCTCAGCAAGTTTGCTGATGACACTAAGCTGGGAGGAGTGGCTGACACACCAGAAGGCTGTGCTGCCATTCAGAGAGACCTGGACAGGCTGGAGAGTCGGGCAGGGAGAAACTTGACGAAATTCAACAAGGGCAAGTGTAGAGTCTTGAATCTGGGGAAGAACAACCCCAGATACCAGTACAGGCTGGGGGCTGATCTGCTGGAGAGCAGTGTAGGAGAAAAGGAACTGGGGGTCCTTGTAGACAGGAGGATGACCATGAGCCAGCAATGTGCCCTTGTGGCCAAGAAGGCCAATGGCATCCTGGGGTGCATTAGAAAGGGTGTGGTTAGTAGGTCAAGAGAGGTTCTCCTCCCCCTCTATTCTGCATTGGTGAGGCTGCATCTGGAGTATTGTGTCCAGTTCTGGGCCCCTCAGTTCCAGAAGGACAAGGAACTGCTTGAAAGAGTCCAATGCAGAGCCACAAAGGTGATGAAGGGAGTGGAACATCTCCCTGATGAGGAAAGGCTGAGGGAGCTGAGTCTCTTTGGCTTGGAGGAGACTGAGAGGTGACCACATTAACATTAATAAATATGTAAAGGGCGAGTGTCTGGAGGATGGAACCAGGCTCTTCTCAGTGGTGTCCAATGATAAGACATGGGGTAATGGGTGGAAGCTGGAGTGTAAGGTTCCACATAAACATAAGGAAAAACTTTTTCACTGTGAGGGTGACAGAATACTAGAACAGGCTGCCCAGGGAGGTTGTGGAGCCTCCTCGACATTCAAAACCTGCCTGGCCACATTTCTGTGTGAGCTACTCCAGGGGATCCTGCTCTGGCAGGGGGGTTGGACTAGATGATCCTTCGAGGTCCCTTCCAATCCCTAACATTCTGTGATCAGGACAGTAAAAAGGAAAACAATCCAGCTTCCCAAAGTGTGAAATTAAAACACCATATTAAACAGCTGGTGCTAATCTGCTTTGCTTGAACAATCCTTTGAATTCATCCACATGCATACACCATGCTACCTTTAAAGATAGAAGCTCAGGGCTTAAAAATAACACACTTTTTAAAAGAGGTGTGTAGAGGGAGGGAAGAGGGACATTACCAAATGATCAGAAGGCCCCAATTTAAGGACCTTTTTCAAGTAGAATATTTAAAAGAAAAGAGAAAAACTTAAAGTACTTTTAATAGAACTCAACCAAGACAACGGGGTTTGCTGTGGAAGGGCGCAGAACTCTCATATTTGAAAAACAAACCATGTGCGCCACCTCCCGGGGTACAAAACGCAGAGCACAGGAACCACGCTCCCTCCTCCCGGATCTCCCAAGAAACCGGTGCTCTCTGAGTGGCTGGCTGCCTTAGGGACAGGGACATTGCATTTGTATGCCTTCTCCTTTTATAGTTTAGGGCAGTAGACCGAAAGAGTTCAAAATACTGCTTGAATCCGTTCCAGATGATCAGAAGTTTCATCTTCTCAAGGTAATGTGTTTTTTTCTGCCCAGTTTCTCTCCAACACTGAAATGAAATGACGGAAAGTTGAAGCAAGAATGTCTCAAGTTACTTGGGTTTAAGCAAGAAAAATCACCTGGGAGCCAAACTTGCCTGCCTCTTCCCTTTGCCTCAAGGTTCAGATGAGACCTAGAGCAGTTCTGCTTTCTTGTCAGGGCTAAAGCCAGAAGCTAGAATTGAAAGACCCAAAGCACTAGGAAGATTTGGATGGATATAATTTATTGTCTTGGAATTTCATCTTGATAGGATTTAAAAAGACACACTGAATAGGCTGAAAGTATTAATCATTTATTTTAAGCAGCACAAAACTTGATTTTTTACATAGTGTTTATCTGAAAATGGTAAGACCTGAAGTACAAAATATCAACTTTTGGAAAATTCAGTAATGAGGCTTGACAGTAAGTGGGATAGAGATCCTAATATCACCTGAAGACTGAATTTAAAACACTGGACCCCTTTTTCAAAGTTTTGATCCCATTTACCTTTCAGTCAATGTCATATCTCAGCTATTAAAAAAACCCAAAACAAATCAGGTGAACAAATGCCTCTACAAGATGGAATAATTTACTTAGAGGTGAAATCCTTTCCACACTTACTAAAGAACTATCAAATAAGAGCTGATGTAGTGTTAAAGTCTTAAAAGACTTCTGCATCTCCATATAAAATTTTTAATAAAAAATGTGAACTGCCTCTTTCAGATACATCTCATTTAAACACTCAACCTTTTATAGTTTATGCATACATACAGCATATTGGCTAGCATAGCAATTCTTTTCCAGGACATGCTGCAGTAATTCATGCCTTGTTGCTTTCCATAAATTGTCAGCTGTCTTTTCAGTACCACTTCAGCATGACTTTCTTGAGTCCATTTTTTTCCCCTCAGAATTTTCCAAAGGACAGCTGTGCTGCAAATACAGCCATTTAAACATTCAACTATGTAATTCCTCTTTAACAACACAGAATAAACATAGCCTTTGTAGGTTTGACATGGGCCTGTGAAAATTTCCCTCTTCAAAGAGGGATGTGATGAGAGGATGGTTACAAACCATGTAGTTTATTCAAGTATTTAGCCTAAGTACACATTGCTGTAAAATTGGAGCAGGCTGAGTTCCTCTACTGGAAAAAGCAGAAAGTGCCTCATTCAGCAAGAAGAGCCAACAGACAATAAGGGTCTACTACAGCTGGTGCTAGGACAAAAAACAGCAAGGCCTTCAAGGATGAGGCCGTCATCTGTTTAAGGAATAGCACTAACTCTCCCAGCTTCTTGTGGTCTTCCCCTCCACCCCTGTACTTCCTAAGGACAGAGAATCAGTGAGGAAGACCAATCGGTTAAATATTTCCAAGTGGGAAGTGAAAGAGGTCTAGGAAACACAGTAAAATGCACAAAGGAATTCTTTGCACACAGACAAATTCAGGGACCACTGACACAGATCAAATTTTGGCTATGATTCTCCTCCTAATACTAATGAAAGTATTTTCAACATTGAGTTAATGTCTATAAAGCCTTATGCACTGCTTTAAAAAAAGTCTGTGAATGGTCACCAAGGAAAAGGTATCTTTTGTTAGAAGGCTGAATTTTTGATATAGAGGTCTGCAGCTTTTATGAACTTTTTTTTTGGGGGGTGGGGGGAGGCAGGAGAATGAGGATGCCATAATACAATCAGAAAAACTGGAAGATTTACAGCCAGTGAATTAGTAGGACAGCAGCTACACTAAAGTACTTCAAGTTATAATAATTTTTTTTTTTTTTTTTTTAAGGACATAACACTTATTAATGGCTATTTGCTTTTAAATGCTGAACATTACCTTCTCTGTTTTACTTTCCCACTAGTTTAAAACAAATTATGCATGTGCCTTCATAGTCTAATCTAAAAATCCTGGTATTAAAAAAAATACACAACCATAAACCAAAGCTGGATACAGTAAAAAGAAAAAAAGCAAACACAAACCATTCTTATTTTACTGCTGTACAGTCATTGATGTCAACATGTTTTAAAATAACCTGTTTTTTTGCTTACAGACTATCACTAGGAATGAGACAAAGCACTATATTATATGGAGAAGAGAATATTCAGTAACTGGCCAATGATTTCACCTAAAGATGATTGTGGCCTTTATTCACCTGCGAGTGGGTAACTCCCAGTAGCAGCAATAGGCACCTCAGAGTACACTGGCTTTCAAATTATTCAGACAAGTGAACCCTTACAAAGAAGCCTGGTGACTGACCGACCTTACACTCACAGCTTGTCAGCAACTGCAAATGCTCTCCCATTCTGCTCTACCAAGGTGACTCAGCCTTGATCTGGAAGTCTGGAAGAAGACTCCATTATTTAGCATCTCCACATTTCACAGTGCCAGCCAGCTTCAGCTCACTGTAGCCCCTCTGCCAGTTAGTGCAAGTTGTAGCAGCAGCTTTTGCAGCTCAGATCCCTGTCATCAGGGCTTCGGCTGAAACCAACAATTCTATTTCAGAGGATGCTCCCGAGGAGCCATTACCTGAACTCTGGATTACTCATGAGCCTGGACTAATGTCTGAATAGGCACCAAAAGCCAGAGAATTTGACTGGCTCAGAAGACTGCTCAAATCCCATTACCAGTCTGTCTTCACTTCTCTGAACAGCAGCAAGAACTTCAGCAGGCAGAAATGAACAATTTAAGTATATGAGAGTCAAGTTTGACAGGAACGAATGTCTTGGTAAATTGTATGGACCTTTCTTAAAAGGTTCAATCCATTATGCTCTTACAGTTTTTAACAAAGTGAAGTTAAGAACAGCTTACTTATTTATCTTTTCATAATTTCTCTACTTTCCCCTCCACAGGGCACTATACCAGCCTGCTTCACCATGCAGCTCATATTACTACTTATATAAATAAAAGTCTCATGTCTGAAATCAGGATATGAAAACCAACCGAACTTCTTGTTGGAAACCCCAACCAAAATCAAATAAGCTTTCAGCAGCACAGCCATTCTGGATTATCAGAAAACTTAAGAACCACTCTTTGAAAAAAGTGCTGTATTAAGCAACTCTCATAAGCATTTTCAAATTTAAAAGAAAAATGTTAGTATACAAATGACTCATCCTTCAGTGAAACAGAGCCAACTGATACACAGCAAGTAATTTGGTAGAATACCCATAGGTTGACTTTTGCTGATAAAGAGTTAACTTGTTAAGCAACAGATATATTAACAAGAGATACCAAAACTGATAGCTCTATGATTACCACTAGTTTACCCCTACAGCATCAAGGCTGAGAACTGGAATGGTACAGTGCCTTGATATATTGCGTTTAGGTTGATCCAACAAAGAAATCCTAAATACAAGCTCTTTTGCCTTGAAAACGGAACAATCTCCTCTAACAAACTTCTTTTACAGAACCTGAAAAAAAGGCTTATTAAAATTCTTCATCTGTTTTCTTCAGCATTTAAATTGAGACAAAAAGCCCATGATAATGTTTCTAAAACTTGTGAAGGCAGTGGGATAGAACTAACATATTCCCATGTCTGAATTCAGGTTTAACTACTTGAACTCAGATCACAAATCCCTAATGACTGAACTGATAGCATCAATTATCTAAAAGGCTGCATCCAATGAAACACAGCTTTCTGACATGTTCACGGTACATGGCATTATATTCACATTAGGAAAACAGTGGTTCTGCAAGAAATATTGATATGTAGGCAAGGAATGACTTGAAGTCTTGTGATGTGGAGAATCCTGTCTTCCATAATAAAGAGAGAGTATTTTCCAGCACCATAATGCCTCAAAGCTCTGGTTTTTGGCCCCCTGTATTTTTTTTAAGGTATGGTTTAATCTTACCTCTTAAGTTAGTTAACAGGATTATAAAATATCTCACAGCATTCTCCTTAAAAAAAACCAACCAAACAAACAAAAAACCACAAAAAACCCCACAAAAAATACCAAGGAAAGAGATCACTAGTAAGACACTTGGTAACACTGTAGTCTATCACTGTATTTCATCTTTCATAGAAAAATGCTCAAGTGCATTATTTTTCTTAATGTGCTATAGGCTAAAAATGAACCCTCAAGGGTTTCTATTGCTCTTGTTGCCAGAGCAACGATGCAATGCTCACCTGAATATCTGCCAGTGTAAGTATCAATTTACAAGCTGAGATGAAGTTTGTGCTGCTAGCAGATGTCACTATGCTAAAAAATGCTAACAGCATTTTTACTATAAGCGAAATTTTAGTGGCAAGGGATGCCATGAAAACTCAGGAATATATTACAATTTCCTTTGTGCTATTTGATTATTGCTCATATAATTCAAGTGTTTCTATTAAAATGTCTTGACCAATGACATTAACAGTGAAAGGGTAAAACTGAAAGGCTTTTATATGAAATCTAATGCACTGAAAAGACTTCACTAAGCAACTCAGAAGAAATCTCACTTGTCATTAGAAAGCATACTAGGAATCTTTCCCAATAAATTCCTTCCTAAAACTCTTCATGGTAAGGAGGTAGGAGGAGCTGGGGAGATGGGAGCAGCTAAGACACATTTTAAGGGCAGATAAGTGTTAATACTTTCTGAATTGAAAATGAGCTCATTGTTTACCACTCCAACAATCCAAACATTCCCACTGTTTCTGTTTGAAACAGGTGACAGAAGCATTATGCATATTACTAAATCAAAGAAGAAAGAATACAACTTTGAAATTATTTGTTAAGTCTCAAACCAAACCCAGCAGGATGATATGGAACTGAATTACAGAGTTGGAAACATCACTCTTTTTACAGCGAAGTCTATTTCTTTAAGAAAAATTCGAAGGAATTTGTTGTTATAACAAGTACTAAAAATTCTAACTGTAAGAAATTTGGAGAGAGATGTATGGAAAATAGGGAGGATTTACCTAGGCCCTATAGTTTCTTACATTCCTTATAATTTGTCATTTTTTCTCCATAAAAACTAAGAGGTAGAGGAAGATAAAAGCAAACTCAAGATTTCCTTCTATTTCCAACTCCTAATTCCCAGAGAAATTATTCTCAGACCTTGGATTACAACACCAATTATTTAACTCTATTCAGACAAGCAATCTGAAAGTGCAAGAAGTAAAAAGGAAAGAAAACCATAGGCACTTCCAGTTACAAAGTGAAATACACAAATTAGTTAAAAAAACCCCAACAACAGTGCTTTATTTTCCCACACATTATGTGCATCTCTGTAAAAGCACCATTTCTGAAAAAAAAAAATAAAATCTTTGCTTATTCCATGCAGAGTTAGATGCAGAGGCAGTGTGAATCAGAGTTATATGAAGGGATTATATGCAGGAAATTTTCTAAGCAAGGGATTGGGAGAGTCAGAGCTAAGCTTCCTTTATTTTCTTCTCCTTGTTACTCACACAGATATGCAAACTGCTCTGCTACCAAAATGCAAAGGAATTTTTTGCCTTTTTTTTTTTTTTTTTTTTTTTTTTTTTTTTTTTAACAGATAACTAATAGTTACCACCAGGTTCCTCAACCTCACGTTGTTAATCTTTCAAGCCCACTATGCCACTGTTACAGAAAAGCGTTGAAGGTCCTGCAATGCTCACTGACTAGATACAAGAAAAAAATTATCCTACCTGTAAAGAAAATACCATTTTCTGACCTCAACATTAAGATGTAGGCTTGCACAATGGAGGTCTGGTCAAATATATTCTTCCCTGCTCTCTCCCACTATTGTTTTCAGTCTCACCACTTCTGTTTCCAGTGTTTGTTTTCAGACAGTCAGTACACATGCTTTTCATATGATTGAGACACCAGTGAAGCTAAACTAAACACCTCCAACCGCCGTTCAAGGTGAAGAACAAGCCAGCATCAAGACCTTCACTTCACAGTCTGTCCATTAAGACAGATATTTTTGCCTTCTACTTCTGGGTTGCTGAGCTCAGCCAAAAAAAAAAAAAAAAGGGTTGTCTTTTCTCTTTTTTTTTTTGTTTTTTGTTTTTTGTTTCCTTTTTGTTCTACGCTCACTAGGAATACCAAAAGAAATGGCAGAAGATGGACCTTAGCTTTATCCTCTGTCCATACATATGCAGACCAGCCTTTTCTAAATACCAGTCATCCTCAACTGAAAAATTCTGTCACGGTTTGACTCAGGATCGACAACTGAAAGGCTTTTTTAGTGCACCAAGTGGAAAGTTACAAAGTGCTAATTTTTACAAAATCCACTATTTTGAAGCCAAGGAGATGCATTTGGCTGGATGGAGCATCTTGTGCTTCAAGAGCAGTTCTAAGCCACATGCTAACCAGTGGTAGCATCTTGGTAAACTGAAGAGAGGTAGTCTTGTTTTACACTAAGGCTGAACATGTTTGTTTCCCAGTTTTCACCTCCTCAAACTACTTTGTAGTGACACTCGGGAAGGGTGACCCTCTCAAGTGGCAGCAGTGATCTTGGGAAAAAACCCCACAAACCAACAATTCTTCTTGACCTCACTTGTTTTTCTCTGCCGCTTAAATCTGACCTTTCTCCCTCCCCCGCACCATGAGCAGAGTTTAAAAATGAAGTAATGTAAACAGAAAGCAATATCCATTTAATGCTGTTAATAAGAGAGATAATTTTTTTTTTTTTTTTTCTCTTTTCTACAGTCAGGGCTTGATTAGTTAGAAAATACTGACAGCTCCATTATTTTGTGAAAGAGAGATGGACAATTTCGTTCAGACAGTGGAAGAACATTATGGTGAGTTTTTTCCTTTTTTTTTTTCCTTTTTTTTTCTTTTTTTTTTTTTTGTTAAAAGAAGGTACTGTTGAGAGCATAAAGGCTCATAGTACAGCAGTAGCAAACCCAGTACTGTAGCACTTCAAAGGTGGTAAACAGTGCTTTGGTTCAGAATCAGTGTTAGAAAATAAAGCTTAAAAAGTTAAGATGCAGGATATTTGGCAGGATTTCAACAGCAATTTGTAGTGACCGTAGAAAGGACTGAGGCATTGGCTTATTCCCCTTGGCAAAGTACTTTGTTCTTCATTCTGAGTCCCAGGTTTCACGATCAAGTTTTTCATTTCCATCGATGACGCACTAAGGAGGATTCATCATTGACCACGTCATTGTCAGTGTAGCGATGCTGACATCGTGGTGGGATAAGCAGCAGGATGGTCAGTACTAGGAGGATAATTCCACACAGGCTCATGAGAGCATAGGAGGCAATCCACAGCACTGGTTCACGGAATGTAAGGCTAGAAACACAATTGCTTGCAACATCTGCAGTTGTGAAGGGGCCTTCAATCTCAGATACTGGAGAGCCATCAACTTCTGAGAAATAACAAAAAGAAAAACATTAAGTCTTAGACACAATGTAAAAGCACGTAACAGAAAAATCTAGCCTAAATATGTATATATCCCTTTTCTTCCATCACTGTATGCCTCAGCATGCTTGTATTTTATTGCATTTCTCAATGAAATGAGGAGCGTAAGGAGATCATGATGCGGATGCCACCTCCCAGGATGTGTTCAAGGCCAGGTGGGATGGGGCTTTGAGCAACCTGGTCTTGTGAGAGGTGTCCCTGCCTATTCAGGGGAGTGGGAACTAGATGGTTTTTAAGGTCCCTGCCAATCCTAGCCGTTCTATGATTCCATTATGTGATTCTATGATACTCCCACCTCTGCAGAGGCTGTCAGCAAGAAAGCAGACATTTAAATCAGGACTCCCACAACCAAATTAAAGCCTAGGCCACTGGATCACCTTTTCTCTCTAGACTAACCTTTCAGACATGCCAATTTGACACAGCTTAAAAATCCTACACCACCTACATTGGAGTAAGTTGGAGCCTGGGCAGAATTACATGTTTCTGGCATTCACAACCCCCTGGAAGAGTACCTCAGATTATTCTTACATCTTCTGTGTTTGCTGTCTCCACAGCATGCAGGATCATTAGCTTCACAGATACCCAAAACGACTGTATCCTAAACTCAAGGTGCAGGGTGCAAGGAAGCACAGATACTTTTGTGAGTGGAGGTAAAAATTCAGAAGGAAGAGGAGGTGAAGCAGGACAGCTGTACAGAAAGGGGAGTGTTGGAGAGGAAGGACAATGTCAGGAGTAAGGAGCTGGGGCTTGAAGAAGCAGTGCTTTGGGCAGGGAGGGAGAAGCTAACCAAGCAGCTTGAAAAATGGAGATGACAAAGCTAAGATGAGAATCATGTGCCTCAGCAGCTGTTTTCGAATGGCCATCCATCTCAGTAACATGACAGACTGATCGACTTGTTTCATTACCATGACAAACCCCTGCTTGTTAAACCAGTATCTGCTAAAAAGGATTATCCTGCCCATGGTTGTCACAGTAACCGTGGCAAGCACAGCAACGTTCCCCTGAGTTGTGGACAGGGCTACGGGTATTGTAAAGGCAGAGCAAATGAGTTGCCTAGGGCAACAAAATATTCAGCACATTTTGGACCTGCAAGTTCACCAGCCAGGGAAGGATGGATACCTTTCAGCTTGCTAGGGGCAACTAGAAGCCTGCAGTTAGTACTCTCTCTGCATTTTAACAAGTCTTCTGACAGTTGTAATTCACTTTCCTACTCAGATACTTCCAAGAAACATTTGTGTACTTCTTATAAAGGCCTCAGTTTTAACCTTCCTGCTTAGTTTCTTGTTCATTTTACACACAGATACACTCTTGCCAAATTGTAAGTGACCCTGCCTACTGAAAACAGCACTTCTTATTTACACATATCTTAAGATACATCTCCTGAAAGCATGTTTAAAGAGATTAGCATAAAGGACCCTTTGGAAGGAAGAGGGGAGCCTGGGTTTGGAGAGGAAGGAAGGTGGCCTTTAAGGTTATTTGTGGAGAAACAAATGCAGAATAGATTGGCTGCTTCACCTGCAATTTATTGAGAAAGATTTTAGTTAGCATTCAGTCCTTGACCTTCCAACACCTCTTATTAGAAGGTTTAAGTCTCATTAGATTTCATTCAACTTTATTGTGGGCTGTTGCTGAAAGAGACAGTCCTGCTTGCCTGCACTCCTGTCCCTCACTGCCTCTTTTGTATTGTGCTAGTGACTGCAGAGAGAGTCAGGCTAACTCACTGATCTGATGGAAAACCAACCTGGCATAACAAACAAAATGCCCAGACAAGGAATTTTATGTAGGGTCATTTAACTGAACCAACCCGTCACCAGCTGTAAGCATGGGAAGACTTCTTTAGCAGCAATGTGCTGTTGGAGTGGAGTGGGTGAAACTGAAGCTGCACCCACAAGCACCCTAACACCAGTGAACACCAAATGCATACTCTTTTAGCTCATCAGATGGTAATAAACTAGCCTGTGCATCCTGTATCATCATCAGATCTTTTACAAGACACTGCTGTTACATAGGCATGGTAAGGGAGCTGCACAGTAATGGACAGACTTGTAAAAGACTATCTATAAGGTCTGTGGTAGAAATCCATTTTTTTCAGAGTCACAGTATTGCACTTTGTCTACCATCCAGTTGTTTCTTCTGGACCTCTAACCCCGACACTACTTCATCTTTCTCTATGAAGTTCTGCAGCAAAACCAAACTAAACCACATTTAATACTAATGTGAGTCCTCAGAATGACTGGTTAAGAATTTAGTATTTTGAAGATGTTCTGGTTTGAGCTAGGATGAAGCCACTTTTCCTTTTACTGATTTTTTTTCCTTCAGTAAGCTTTCTTTAACTAGTAGCAGAGTGTTCCAGCTAGGGATGAGCACAAACAGTGGAATGCTTTTGTAACTGCTGGGTCTTCAAGGTCACACCTTCACTCTGCTGACGCAGACACTACGGGGAGATCTATGGCCCCCCTGTAGGAGGCTGAGTTAGACAGACAGCAAAACTGGCCAGAGATATTCCATTCCATATATCTATGTAAGCTCAGAGGAAGGTCAGAGATCACAGAAGACAACTTCCTTCCTGCTTCATCTTCCCTTCTCTTCCATCCATGGCCAGTGTCCCGGGAGGACTCCATCCGTCCATCAGCATCGACCCCCAGGCTGGAACTCTCCTGACCCTCATCACTCTGTACTTTCTCCAGCAGCAGCTCCGGCACTTTTCAGGACTGTTCCCAGCTCAGGAGATGCTGGGGTAGTTGCTGGGTGTAGGGGTAGGTGAGAGGGGTTTTGTACATTCCCTGAAAACATTCATATATAGTTGTATAATTTTTCTTTAATCATTAGTGTTTAATTAAAGCTGTGTAGTTTAGTTTTCAATCCAGCAAAGTCTCTCTCTCTCTCTCCTTCCCTACCTGGGTGTGGGGGGGAGGGGATTGAGAGCATTGTTGTCAAACCTGAGTCAAACGGTGACAGAAAAAGTGGAGGGGAAAAAAAAAAAAGCAGCACAATTTTCCACCTTGGAAATAGCTTTGAAAATAAACAGTCCCTAATTACTCATTATTTGGCTTGAGTACAGCAATTACTGCTATTAAAAAGGCAATGCAAAACTGTTGCCATAGTGGCTGACATTTGAAATTACATTCTGAGAATGCCTGATAGCAGCACAGCCTCTGCTTTTTTCCCTCCAAAAAGAAAAGTTTTCCCTCACCCTCTTCCACCACCAGAGAAACTGAGAGGAAATTAAAAGAGGGGAAATTTGCCTAAATTGTTCAAACAAGCCTTTAACATAAACTAACAGTCACACACACTTAGCATATTACACATTAGCTGAATTAGGATATTTTGGCATATTTTTATTAGAACATACGGTGGTAGCTACCTACAGTAAGTTCTTGACCTTGAATAAATGTGATTTTCTTCATTATTGATGATTACAGAAAGAAAATGGCACCTCTGCAGCAATGCTGTTTTATACACACTCTCACTTACACTCTTGGGTGGTTTGGAAAGGAAGCAAACCTGAAGTTAGGTCAAAGTAATTATAAAAATGTAAATGAGCCCCTGGAAGTCACCTAGTCCAGCCTCCTCCTCACTGCAGGACTGTCACCATCAACAGATCAGGTCAGCTGCAGCCAGCCAGGTCTTGTAAAACTCTGAGGACAGTGCTGTACCAACCTTCCAGGTGAAGACGAAATTCCTCATGTCCAGCTGGAACCTTCCTGATACACTGGTGGATGTTGCCCTTTGTTACGTAGTTTCACTTACACTCACCCTTGGCTGGTATTCAACTTGGGGCCCACCATAATCCCCAGTTCTTTTTCCACAGGATTGCTATTCAGCCGGTCCCTTCCCAGACTGTACCCATGCATGGTGTTTTTCTGTTCAAGGTGCAGAGCTTTGCACTTCTGTTCACTGAAACATTTGAGGTTTCTGCTACTCAGTCCTCCAGGTTACTGAGATTCTTCTGGACTGAAGCTTTGTTATTCGTCATGTTATCTATTCTCCTGAATTTACTGCCCACAAATTTCGTTAATTCTGTCTCATCACAGTTTAGTGTAGAAGTAATTTATGATTACAGTGCTTGGTGCATTTATTACCTACAAAATACCCAAGTCTTACTCCTAAGATCTTCTCACTTACTACAGAAATACTAGGGGTGTAATTGTGCTTGATGCCAAAGTACCATTAAGTTGCTTGATTAATACTAATTGGTTGATCTGAACATCTTCTCTCACGAAGGGACCTGATCCAAACCCTTTCCTAGTCATCCTGTAAACAGTAGGATATCCTTGAAATTAGCAACAAGCAACTTGAAACAATTTGAAATTAGTAACGGGCAGAATAAGCCTTCAGGGGTTTCACAAAATGAGGAAAAAGCACATTTCCTGCTACAGTGGAATGGCTTCCCACAGCCTTCTTTCTAACTCTCTTCATTCTTGCTACATCATGGAGAATGAAAATAGTGCGAGTACTGTGGGATAAGCCAGTTCTCATCTCTAGTCAAGTCCCAGTAGAAACTTAGGAGTACAATGAAGACTTTTAGTTCTGTTCCCACCATTTTTGCATTCAGCATATACCTGTTTAATATCTTTTAAAAACACAGGTGTAAATTTAGTGTTAATACTCTTGTAAACAAGAAAGCGTAGGTCATTGCAAAGCCACACCAGATGGTCTTTATATTTGTCTATTTCTGAAGATTTGTGCCACCAGTAATTCAATTTACTTTATGCCCATGAGCAGACTAAAAAGCTCCAAATAAATGACATTAATACAGTTGCTGTGGAGGACATGGCTGGCCTCCACAGGAAGCCAGTTAGCTTAATCTCTCACACTGTACTGACTGCTAACCACTCACAGTTGTGGTTTTCTGATGAAAGTAGTGTTAAATATGGAAACCACAAGCTGTGAAGAAGGGAATTCAAAATAACTGCCACATCCAGCAAAATGTCATCTGCCCTTGGGGATGGAGTCTGGTAAATCAGTCTATCTTGACTCAGTCAGTGGCTTGTGTCACCTGATTTGTCAAGAAGCTAATTTCTTAGAATGCTAAGTTAGACACACGCATGAAACATGGACAAAGAAACAAAGAGGAAATGCCTTCTAGCACCAGCTGGGTATCATCATGTGTCCAAGCTCATATAAATTCAAATTTGATTTATATTCAGCAAACTCAGTTCTTCCACTCTGGATGAGGCTGTCAGAACTACATTAAATGGCCAGACTCTACACTTCTATGTAGCAATATTAACATTAAGGTGTTATTATGGTTCCCTGACACTGTTTTCACAACAAAGATGTGCTGTCAAAGCAGTTCTTATGAGCACCAGCTGGCTTGTGTCCCCTGCTGACCACATGTTGGTCAATATGCTCCCTTAAAATGCCCCCTCGTCTCTCCATGAATGGCTGCAGCAAGGCAGGGACAGAAGGCAGCTCTACACTTGCTAAAATCACAGTCAGGAAGCACAAGGAAGAATGAAAGGCAGGAAAACCTGGTCTGCTGTATTTGTCTAGCTACACTTTCCTTCCAGATGCATTCAAAATGTGTCTTTCATCTCTGCATGGCACCTAATAGAGGTCTTCATTAAGCAACCCACATCAATACCCAGATTTTCTTTTATAGCGAGCTCAAAGGTGACAATTTTGAACCCATTAACAATGGAGAGATTAAACAAAAAAAGGGAAAGAAAAGAAGAAAAAAAAAAAAGCTTTTAAAATGCCCTGGAGCTACAACTCAGCTAGCTACTATCTCTTTTTCTTTCCTCAATTACCTGGTTGCATTACGAATTTAAGTACTTTCTGCCCTTAACCTCTCTAACACAAATAATGGGTATTAAAGATGCACTGTCAGTCTTAGTCCTCTCCTGATGCAAATCTGAGGTGATAAAATGTTTTTCAGGGTATAGACCACTTCTTTTTGGGACAGAGACTTGCATTTGGGCACGTGTCATTTACCTTCTCTCCCACATGTATATTCTTGTGGTGCCAAAGCAATGTCTTATCAATAATGAGAGGAAACCCCAAAAGTTTTGATTTTAGCTACCCATGGTGAGATAAGAGACACTGAAAAAGTGAGAAAGGTGTAAAATCAGCCCAAAATCATTAGCTTTTTCACATTTTCTCAGCAACTAATTAAAAAATTAATGCTTACACTGAGAAACCTATTGGTTTAGAACCAACACAAACACTAAAAGTCTTAGTTTGAGTTCCATTTTCATCTTAGCTCTTTCTTTGAGCATTTCTGAAAGGCTGAAAAGTCACAATTTACATTAAGAGAAAAGTGTGAGTAATGTACTTCACTGCACATTGCAAAAGTTCATTGAAGAATCCATTTATCTGCAAATCAGAAGAGGAACTAGACAAAAATGAAGCTGCACTAAAAACAAGGACAAGTCTTGTGTAACTGTTGGGCAAACCACAGAGACAGATGTCTCAGAAAGATGATCTTCTCTCAGAGGGAAGAACACAGCAAAGATACCCAGAGCTGAGGCTGATTTAATTCACATCACAAGATTGTTGCATGCAATACAGCTTTTTCTTTTTTTTTTTTTTTTTTTTCTCCCCTTGAAATCTGAATAGCTTGGGATTGCTCAAAAATCACAGAATCCTAGAATGGTAAAGGTTGGAAAAGACCTTAAGGTTAAGGTTGGAAAAGCCCATCAGGTTCCAACCTCCCTGCTATAAGCAGGGACACCTCATACTAGACCAGGGTGCATAAGCCTCATTCAGCCTGGCCCTGAACACCTCCAGTGAGGGGGAATCCACAACCTCCCTGGGCAACCTATTCCAGTGCCTTACTACCCTCACGGTGAAGAATTTTTTTCCTGATATGTAACCTAAAACTCCCCTCTTTCAGTTTAAAACTGTTACCTCTTGCCCTCTCACTACACCCTCTGGTGAAAATATACACACTTCATGAGTAACCATGATTTTCCCCATTAGACAAGTGGCAAAAGCCTTTCTCTGAGAGCAGCAAGTGTTCCCTCACTCACCAATACCTGAGCAATATTTCTCTTACCTGCACAAGGACTCACTGCAAAGCCCACTCTCTTCTGGGCTCTGTCAAATATTACATAGAAGCCTTCCATGACTGTAGCACCAATAACTAAAGCATTTGTGGAGGAAGAGATGCCAAATCGGTAGCACTGTAAATTGTCTCCTATTCCAAGGATGGGTTGAATGTAAAGCTATTAAAACAAACAAGAAAATAAAAAAGCCAGAGGGTAAAAAACAATACCACATAGTACTAAGAAGTTCACACTTTTTGATTTTTACACTGAAACCCTTGAACTCCACTGGAAATAGAGAATTAACAGGGGCAAACAGATTTCATCAAATGATTAAAAAGTGGTCAAAAGTTACATGCAGGTAAGAGGTAAAGCTCTTGGATTCTAAGCTTAAATTTGAGCACTATAAGTCACTATGTGAAGGTCAATGGCAAATTAATGAATGCCACTTTTAATTGTATTTTCCATGAGGGAAAGATAGGTGAGAAAGAACTTGGGATATGAACTCCAATTAGAGCATAATTTTACTATTAAAAAATTACTGGGATGGAATTGATCCAGAGAGCATTCAGTGTTAACTTCAAGTCTCTAAATTCATAAATTCAAGTCACATTTTATGCCTTATCTCCTTAGGGAAGATGAAGGATTGCCAAGATACATGATCAATACAGAAAAAGCTTATCACAAGGTTTTACTGTGTTTGAAGTTAAAATGTACTTTAAAAGTTCGTTCTCCCCTTTGCCCCTGACCATCCCCTAAGGTAAAATATTGTATTGTACTGAAAGAGGATACTAGCCTGTATTGTAACCTGCAGTGGGGGTGGGCGGAGGGGAGGCAGAGAGGAAAAAAAAAGGCACATTATATTCTAAAAGCTGAGATGGAATATTAATGCAAGATAACCCAAGTTAGAGAAACTCCTGAAGAGATCTCATCGTCTTATTGCCTGGACTGTCATATGCAGAAGTGCTCAGAATGCCAGAAAAAACAAATCAATTTGCTTTCCAAAATGAGAAGATCAAAATAAGCAGAGACATTCTGTATTGACATCTTATGTGGCTATAGCTTGTGAAAATGAAACAAAAACTTGCTGTTTTCCCAGAAAATTAGAAAAAGTCATTCCCAACTACATGGACTGCACTCAGAAGGAAACTGCGTTTTTTTGGTTTTAGGTTTGACAGGTTTGTTATTTTCTCTATTAAAATTTTTATTTTAAAATATTAATTAAAAAAAGATTTCCCTTGATGCAATAAGCCAGTTCTCTATTACTTCTAAAAATAGCTCATATTTTTAAAAATAATTTGCTTTATAATAGTAATAATAAATGCAAAACTGAATATACAAAGAAAGTTGAGACCTGTGGTAGAACAGTGATCCGAAATGACCTACTGGAGTTTTCATCCCTCAGGTAAATGGACAGTTTGGGAAATAGGGACCATGGTTTTTCAGTTTTATCCCAGCATGCAAGCTGTGAACCAGTCCAGAAACCAGAAGAGAATTCTTGTATCTATTTAAAAAAATGCAACAAATAAAAAAGCATGCAAATTACATATATTTGGACAGATTTTTGCAAATTATCATTACCACTATTCTATGCTTCTTCCATTCTCATGGAGAAATTCAAGCATGAACACAAGTCTGACAAAGAGCTTTTTCTTCAGCTCCAAAGCAAAAACCCAACATACAAATGGAAGTGTGTCATAACCCATTACGACTTAGGAGAAGGGGGAAGAGCAAGAAAAGCAAGTTTAACTCTCCCTTTCCTCCCCACCTGTGTCTCACTACTTCCACTTCTGCAAAGAACACATATGACCTTCATGCACAATGAGAACCACACAGAGGAAAAGGCTTAATGGCCTTTTACTGCCCAACTATCTGCTTCTGCTCTGAACAGCTCTGACCAAATGCCAACGTTTTGAAGCAGCAGATATTTTTTTTAAAAACACAAACCTAAGAACAAACTGTGAGAACATATAATGGAGTCATCGCTCTTCCTCACACACCTACAGCTTCTTACTCAACCTTGGGGTTTCAAAGCCAAGGGCTAAACCAAAATTTCCTGGTATCTAAGGTCTACTACAATCAATGTAAAGGTAGATCACCCTCTTGTCTCTTTCACTACCCTGCCACTCACTACCAATTCAACTTGACATGCTTTTGAAACAAGATTAACAGCACTTCTTAATATATCCATGGCACTAAGTAAGCAAAAAGAAAACTATAGAGCTTGTTTGCCTAAGAAAAACACTTTGTTTGATGTCCACACTCCCTGAAGCACACAAAGCTGATCTGCTACCTTATCAGAGAAAAACCCTTCCTTATTTGAGTGCAATACTTTGTGCTAGTTCTTATTCCCCTGTGAAGTCACAGCCAAGGTAGTATCCCATTCTGACGCTGCACAGCCAAAGCCTCCCATATGGGAGAAGGAGAAAGATGGAATCCAGTCACTCTACTCCCCTCCTTTGTATTTATCTGTGATATTAGTTTTTTCGTAAATATCAGCTCATCCATTAGTTAGATGGCATTTTACAGGTGACAAGTATTCATACACACCCACACACCTGCCAATTAAATATTTGCTAGGCCTGTACAGAATCAGAGACTTAATGCTCCCTGGTGCTCATCTCTGTCCTTGGGTCAACAGGTGTACACTCACGTAAACACACAATGAGACTTACCAACACAACAGACTGCTTCTACCCTTAACTCTCACTGCATGCTTAAGTATAGCTCTTGGCACAGGACAGAACACTCTGTCCCTCACAGTTAAATCCCAGACCTGCTGAAAAATATAGCTCTCCTTCCTTTCCATTTTCTCTTGGAAGGCAGAGCTTGTGTTCTGAGAAAAACTGCAAGATAGCATCCAGACTAGACAGACCAAGTCTAGGAAGTGCTCTATTTTAAGTGCCTACTTTCATTTCCCAGAAAGGCTGTTTATTACATTGCATTTCTTTGCCTTATTCTGTATGCTGAAGAAATGCACTGGGAGGGATATGGCTGTATGATACCTAAAAGGTTATTAAAATAAAGATTCTGGGTTTATTTGAGCCTTCCTTTCTTCAATTTATTAATTTAGCATTATATTAATGGTGTGAGTAGACAAGCTGTTCTGACTTCAGCTCAGTGAGGTAAAGTAGCTGCCACCCCTCTGTGGCTCATCTCTACTCATCTGTCAAAACCACCACCCTTCAGACCTGCCAAGATCAAACTGCACCTATAACTGCTCCCTAAAAGACTTAGATCCAAGTAAGTAACGTTTGGAAAACAATCAACACCACTAAAGAGCATAAAGTCTGCTGTCTTGTTTTTTTATGGAGCTGAATAAAGGAAAGCTTCACATGCAGTTATCCCAGTATACCTGAGGGGGCAATGACATCTTGCTGCTAAATCCCTAACAAGCCATCAGAAGCAGTAACTTGTTAATCTGGTTCACTTGTGGTCAGAGAAGTATGTCTGACTACAGCAGATGATTTTACATTTCAGTGATAAACAGCCTGCCAGAAGCACAGAGTGCTATCAGTATGGTTGTGATGCCATGGTACAATTGCTGAAAATGATAATTGCCCTGACATCGCTCCTACATGGCAAGAAGCTGATCCTTACATCTTGTAACTACTTTCCTATTTAATAGACTGTCTCCTTTGTTTAGAGCTGTGAAAGTAACTTTTGGTCTATGTGGAAGGAAAAAGGTACAGCAGCAAGGTCCTTGAGACAACAAACCCTAAAATAGAAGAATTAGTAAATAGGTTTTGTTCTTCCTATTAAAAATGCATCAAGCAGAGTGAGTGAGTCGTTCCCCTCTAATACCTTATTGAGCAATTGCCTGACTATTTACTTGTAATGTGGAAGGCCCTACTTCAAAGGTCCTTCTGACCAATATCAGAGAGGAGTCTGGACCACTGTGACCCACTTCGCAGGAGCCAAGGTGCCATTGCAAGAGCTCTTGGGTAGGTTTATTTCAGTTCACCCCCACTGACTGAAACTGTTCCAGCCAATACTTAAGTGCTTTGCAAAGAGTAGAACTTTCCAGTCATGGAAGCTGAGCTACAGATGATAACTGGTACATTTATTTCAGACACTGGGCACTTGCAGGCAGCAAAGACTACTTCATGTCAGATCTCTGTTCTCAAACTGGTAGGAATCTTGAATTGTCAGCATACAGGCAAATGCTCTGTCTTTTGGGCAGCTGGCAAATAGCCTGGTTACTGTATTTCCTGTGACTTGCAACGGCTTTTGCTGTCTGATGGTGAATCCACGACAAAAATATTGCAACTGTTCACATTGAAATATATGGGATTTATTCTTCATCTTTAACCTGCTTGGCACTGTTCATTGTATTCAACCAACATTTATTAATTTAACCAGAAAATGCTGCTTCAGTTACTCTACAGTCACAGAAATCCACCATGTCTGCGCCCTACTTCTAAAGCCCACTGTATTTCTGAAGATGCTTTTAAAACATAAATAATTCAATAATGAAGGTCAAAAGCAGCTTTATTGATATGAATAATCCTAACGAATGGCATCCATTCTATACAATAGTAAGCATTATACCTGGAAAAGAACTGCTTGCCAAAATGTGTTCTACTTTATAAACAGTCTGTTTTGAATGACATACTTTTGCACTCTTAGTACTTTGAATCAGAGCAACAGGGATTATTTGCATGCTTCTGAAATGCTCAGAACAGAATATTCCATCTCTGCACTACATCTGACACAGTTCCATACAGGCACTACTTCTCTTTACTTGAATCCCTCTTTTTCCTCCTCCCTTTCCCTTTTCACCTCTTCCATTCTCTTTTCTGTTTCCATCACAGACTGTCAATCATTTTTCACTTATTAACAGGCATAGACCAGGAAAGAGTCCGCTCCCCTCAATTAATACTCTATGACTTACAGGGTAGAGAGCAAAGATGACACTTTTTTCAAAAATCATGTTTCATTTAATAGGAATTTAACATTCCAAGCAGATTTAATGCCATTAGCTTACCAGGGATGTGCGAGCTATTGCTTGCACAACAGCATTGAAGACTTTCTGGGGTAGACGGAGGAGTGTAGTCCCACTGTCTACTATTGCCTTATCAGCATTATACTAGAGAGGGGGAAAAAGAGGAGAGAAATTATTCAGTGTAGTTAATGTAATGCAGATTCCACTGTTTCATAACAATAACAAAGCTGTTACTTTTTGGTAGCTGTCTAGCCAAACCTGCATGTCATATCTGTCAGCAGCTTGCTCAAGTGGATAGCCTGAATTTAAATGAAGTCTGAGAGCGAAAGCAAGATAGGGTCAGCCTAGACACAACAGTGAGTTTATCTGCACCACTCAGGAAATGACTGCATGTCACCATAGCTGGTGCAAATGGCCAAGACACTGTGAAAGGAAGGAAAGCCCAGCCCCTCTCGGAGGTGTCACCTAATCAACTTTACCTCCCATATGCTTTGTGCAAAAGCACTCTCATGGTCAGCACAGGCAGACGATAAGCACACTGATGTGGCTTACGTAGGTGTCCAAGCTCTGGATCAAGGTCTCTGCTATCATTAAAACAACTAATTTGAGTTTAAACACGATACAGCAGCTTATTTTTAATGACTGGCACATCTAATTTAAGAATAGTCGAACAAAATTAGGTCTCATTACATGGCATGTTTGGTACTGGCTCAAAAGTACAAATGCCAAATGCCACCACCTTTCTGTTCTGACTGCTGTAAAATCGCTAAAACACAGATAAAAACAAGCACAAAGAAATCTGAAATTTCATTCTTGCAGCCTCAAAATCTGCACTGAAAAAACCTAATCAAGCCTTTATCTTAATTATTAAAACTCCAAGCCTCAGATGAAGAGATTTCAGCAAACTTCAGCTACAGAGAAGAATAAACATTTTAAAAGGTACATCTTTTTCATGACCTCCTTAAAAACTATGGTTACTTGTGGGAAAGGAAAAAAAAAAAAAAGACAAGAAGCAGTGGCAGCTGTTGCATGAACTACTTCTGTTACCACCTTAGGCAGCAGAATCAATATAACTGAACAAGGACATGTTCATGGCATAATCATAAGATACAACGTAACATACAACATAAGCTTTTTAGGAAGAGGTCAAAGAGCAAGTAAATTTAAAATACATTGGTTTTGATGTTACCAAGTCACACAGAGTATCTTTAGAGCAGTGACAAAAAAGGAAAGTAAAAAAGTTAAATCTAACTTTGTTATTTTCTGTTTGAAAGAAGAGATGCTACAGGCTTCTGAGCAGAGCTGAAATAAATGCAAACAGAAAACCATTTATTATACTCTCAGAAATAGTTCTAAAGAGCAGAGAAAAATATCAAGGCATTGTGGAGTCCATTTTAACAGTTTGTACCATAAATATACAATCACCAGCATCCTGGAGAGCCACTCTTGGGGAAAAAACAGGTAGGAGGCACAGCCAAGAGGGTCAATCACTAACATAAAACCATGCAAAATGCCTCAAGTAGCAGAATCACTCAGCCAGGAACTAAGCACCTGGATTCTCATGCTGTGTACAGTGTAATTGCAGAGGGCAGTAACTTTTGCCTTCTTAGTCTTCCTGGTTAATATTTAACAGCACAGCCTATGCAGCATGTGCTGCTGGCAGCTCAGTACTTCTCTCAGCCCTGGTCTGCTGGGCTCAAGGCCACAGCTGCAGTGTGACACTGGACAGATTCCTGGCACTGAAGCAAAGGGACTGCTTTTTCCTTGCAAGGAAAAGAGTAGTCCCTGGTTACGGTTATAAAAAAAAAGTTCCATTTCCTAGAAAATAACTAAGAGGAGAGAGGGCACATAGTTATCATCCTGTACAAGTGAATTACGCCTCCTCTGCAAGCTCCTAACTAGCCAAAAGTTACACTAGCTCTAATTTACTGTTCTTCCTCTAAATTTTTGTGGGAAGATCTCCTTTGATCAAGAAAGGAATGATGCCTTCTGTAACACCAACTCACATAGTATGCTAATATGTACAACGTGAAAGCAAACCCTGGCTCAAAAAAGGCAGACAATGACAGGAAACTGTCATAACACCGCTAGGTTTTTAAATGAGTTGTTTTCTGGAAACAGCATGTATCAAGCCATGAGTACAAGGGCTCCTCTTCAAAAACATGCTGACTTTTTTAAGGCAAGAAAGAAAAGCAAACACAAACATTTACCTTAGAGGATGAGCAGTTTTGCTTTCCTAACAGTATAGTAGAGTGGTATTTCAATAGACCTTGTTTTGCATATTAAGATGAAAAATGATATGACTAATTTTAAATATTTTATGTGGGAAGATAAAATCCATATTTTGTATACAAACATAATATCCATGCACATGTAAGATTTTAATAATGAATTCCATTTAATTTGTATGAACTATAAAAACTTGAGAATTGTCATGTCCCAGTGATGTCCAACTAAGAGAACAAGCATAAGATAAAATTAAGATGTTGAATGAAAACAGGGCATGAAAATTATAGAAATAAAATAAAATCATGAGCAGCAACAAGCAACAGTACGAAACAAATGAAATACACACATATCCTCCAGAAAAAAAATTAAACTGTTTTGGAATAAAAAAATCAGCAACACAGTCTCATTGGACTGAATCAGAGATAGCAGAACATTATCCCCAATACAAAAAGAAAACATATCCATCAGGAATGATAAATGGCAAGACTGAAGTGAGCAAAAGTGCATTACACAAAAGAAACAACAAAACAAAAAAAGAAAAAAAGGGACATAGGGCGTGATGCTTTAAGAAGCATCCCAGGATGACACCTGCCCACTGCAGTGAATTACATGCTTAGACATTGTCACAGGGGTCAGTTGAAAATCTTCCCTTTCCTTTGTTTGACCAGAATTGCTTAAAAACCCTTTGGTTTGATTTTACTACAGAACAGAAAACCATAAACTGTAGTTGTTTAAAGAGCTCCTCCTTGAATCAATGCACCATCGTCACTGTTTAGACACCGTTGTTACAACTGCAACTAGTAAAGAGGCAGAGCTAATTGTAGCCTAGTCCCTAATTTACTGAATATACTTTAAAGTCATCTTGGAAGCAATTTTAACATGCTTGATGAACACAGTGCATTTCACATGGATTGTTCCTTTATTTTCAAACTTGCCATGGAGCCTTAATTCTCAGAGGAAACAGCAATACACATCTGCTTGCAAAGACAAAACTGATCAATAAGTGTTTTTCTTAATCAAACTTGGTTTTTTATATAGACAGAAACACACTATCACAAATACCTCTCTGCAGTCCAATTCAAGGTTCTGTCCTCCAACCTCCAGTTTGAGAATCTCAACCTGGTAATACCACTCCTCTTTGATCGGTGTGTACCAAATATCACCCCTGTACAGACTTGGTTCAATTCCACCCAGAACCTAAGGAGAAGGAATTCACACATTTCAAAATCCCACATGTTTTGTTTTGGGGCAAGTAAAGGAAGAAATGGGACTATAGAACTGTAATACACAGGGCACTGAAATTTTAACTTAGCACCATTTGTAAGGGATTCACTGGCAAGTTCTTTGTCAATAATAAAGCAGTATGTTACATCTAGACATTAACTAGATCATGCTTCAGACAAACAGAATTGACATACCGGGCCAAATTACCAGCATCTTAATCTACAAGCTCACACTGATTCTCTTATGAAAGTTCCACTGTTTCAAATCCAAACAGTTATCTTCAGTGGTTTAATCTACTCATTGTATAAAAATGGGACCGAATTTTAAACATGCACATAATAAATGAATTTTATCAGATTAGAAAAGGCTTAATACTGCTTAAGAACATCTGTTTTTTCTTACACACATCCAAAATGGAGCGTGACCATCATTGCTATCACTACCAACCTCCAGCAAAACTTAAGTTGAAGCTGACTGGAAACATCCTAAGACCATCAGATTTTGAACTGAACTAACATCAGTGAGTTCTCTCTTGGGCTTCATCTGTCTCAAGTGTGTTAACAGTTACAGTTTGTGAATTTACAGCAAAATAACTGTTTCTGATCAACTCCTGTGCTGATATGCTTATTTCAGCATCATCCAGGAACAGTCATTCCGACTCATGATCCAAATAAAGGTCAGTTCTTGGTCCCACTAAAACAGATGGAAAGACTTCCCAGAGTAACAACAAGGGACAATATGGTCTTCAGGTTATTTCCTTCGGTATGTTGTCTACAAAAACAAAAACAAAAAAAAAAAAGAAGGAAAAGAGCCTTGACTCCTCTTCCCCTTTTCACATAATAATAATAATAAAAAATTACTATAGCATTTTGATGAGTTTGAGCAAGCTTAGCAGCTGAGTAATGACTCAGTTTAAGAAAGGAAGGAGAATCTGCTCTGAGGAAACACCACAACACTTATCTTTTTCTTTATTAAAATTAAACTTGAAATACAGAAGTTTACTCAAAATTGAGAGGGAAAAAAAAGAATGGTAAAATAAACAGACACCTGAGTTTTGCCTAAATGGTCAACTTTTCCTTAAAAATTATACAACATTTAATATATTAAACACTAAATTTGGAAGAATTGGGAAAGTCATAGAAAAGAGGGAGAGAGATTAACAAAGATACATCTTCCCTCTCTGATTGACAGATACCCACAAGACTACCTCCGTTGGTACCACTTCCAGAAACAGGCAGCCCAGCGCCACACATCTGCAAGGAGAAAATGTTGGGAATCTTGGCCTGCCTCACAAGAGAATCGAAGAATGTCTCCACAGAACTTGAAGGCTTGAAGGTGTTGAGAACCAAAACAAACAAAAAAAAACCAACAGAAGAATTGCAGAAGTATTACAAGTTTCTTTGCAGAAATGAGCAAATCATTCAAACAAGACCACTTTTCACAAGTAAATTGAATTTCTGACAACAAGGTGATGAAATTCTAGATATAAGAAGTCATTAAAAACAAACATCTGTCATTTCTGTTGTCTTTAAAAACATTTTTACTCTTGACCACTGTCATTGAAATCCCTAAAGCATGAGAGCATTTTTCAACTGCAGTTTTCAAACTCGAATACTAGTTTTAGTTTCAAGCAGAAACTGTAACCAGTGCTTTATGCTCGGAAAAGGAGCATGTTATTAGAAAAGTCAAATGTAACTTTCCCTTCCCAACTTTCCACAGTTAAAAAGCAGAATTTTAAAGTAAGGATTTTCCATTTTAAAACATGGTTTAATTCTAATGAACTTTGAATTCAATGGCTCTAATTTCATCTTCTTTCTTTTAAATACTTTCATATCCAAGCACACTCACTTCAGCTGATTACTGGGTAACGGGTTCTTATCTATGCTGCACGTCATGCTTGTCTTTGCAGGTATTAAGAGTACTGCAGTTTCACTACAATTCAGGTATCTGTGCATATATGTGACAGGCAGAGACCCTGGCAAGTTTGTGAGGTGCCAAGTGCTCTTACTACACAAAACACAGAGCAGCCTCAGCAGCCAACAGTACGTAAATCTTTGGAAGAAGGGAAAAATAAATCCCTTAAACACACTATCTGCCCAAACCCTAGCTTAAGAAGCAGCTCTTCTCTGTCTGTCTGCTGACAGTGTGTGACAGCAAATACAAGCAGAAGTCAATATGATGATCACACAACTCTTAAGTAAAGCACTTTAACTCCAGAGTCAGCAGGCAGGACTTAATAATTTGTTCTAACAGGATATATCTCAGTTTGTGAATTTCTTAGTTACGTGTATGTTGAAAACTATGACTTTAGTCTGTAATTTTTTTCAGTTTTAGATGATAAGGTTATGAATATGACTATAAATTTTAGGGTTTTAATTTCAACTTCTACCTGAATTTCCTACCTCCACCAGAACAGGATGTGTTTCGTTCTATGTTCATGAAAACACTAATACTTGTTCTGAAATTATCCATAAATGCCCTCCATCTCAACTTTTACTTGATGAATGGAGAATGTCTTAGGATGAATTGCCAAGAGCTTTGCCAAGTAAGTTCATCGGTCCATTGACAAATTTGGTATTGCTCTGGTATTACAAACTCTGTGAGAGCTTTTTCATTCCAGAGGGGCTAAAATTGGAGCCTTCATCACCAGAAAAGCTGAAATCCTCACATGAGATTATGTTACCATCAGAACCCAATTTAGTCTTTCTGCAACAAATTCAAAGGATCCATAGGAAAGGGTGGTTGGGAGGGAGGAGTCTAAAGCTGATAGATCATCTGCCCACTTTATTTTAGTAGTCAGATTTCTATTTATTGTCAGAGTGAAAGATGATAGCTGAGGAAAGGATGATTTACCTTGGCTAGGGCATCATAGGCAAGACCAAGAATTCCATGCCATTTAACCCCTGGTAAGAAGAAATTCTCTGATTCAAGAATGGTAGCAATGTTGATCGTGTAGCTGCCATTGATTCCTTTTGGGATAGTAATGACATCTGTACCCAGCACTCCAGTCCAGCTTCCTTGACTGTACTTAACTGTGACATCAATCCCTTGAGATTTGTATGTACTTGACCTTTAAAAGGAAGATAGACACTTAGGTATGAGTTTTTCATTTACAATGCAAGACAACAGAATACATTCATTCTCAGTTTTTCCCAGAGAGCAAAAAAAGTGAAGTCTGCAAAGTCAATCACATAAACTCAAAGAAGATGGGGGATGGATTGTAAAAGCAGTAAAAAGCAGTAATAAAAAAAAATCTCAAGGCCCGGGTTTTATCCTGAAGCCATCAATGGCTCAAATCTTCACAATGAGCATCTTTTTTGTTCTTTTAAATCTAAGGTATTATGCCATCTAGTGCAATATGTCCTTGACTCAGACTGGTCTATTACAATAGCAGCAATACTCTTTAAATGGAGATGGAACACATTAAGTGGCGCTAGGAAATGAAAAGCTTCTGAATTAAAATCTGAAATCGAAATGCCAAGCTAACTGAATAGCTGTAGACTAATGCGTCATTAATATTGTAAAAAAATCCTTTTGGGGTAAATTGGAATGTTATTGTGAATATCAGCAGTAAGGCACATGTTTTCTAAACCTGCAGTTTGGTCTGCCCATCAGGAAGTAAGTGGACTGGGATATTATTAACAAATGAGCCAATGACTTGGAGGAAGAAAGGAAAGAGTTCCATCTTGACCAGGGCAGCAAATGCAAAGAAGGAGTTAAGTATGGCAAGCAAAGAAAGGAAAAGAAAGCTTAGAAAGCGTAACAAAAACAATAGAAAAAACATCAATTTTAATTTTAAAAGCCTGTAGTATAAATATAGAAATCACCTTCCACCTACATCACTACCAAAGAACTACAGAAGTTCTACATCTCTTACAATCTATTTTGGTCCCATTCCTCAGCATACAGCTTCCCCTCCGGAAGAGACAGATAACCATGTTTAGTTCATTAGAACAGACTTTTTACTTGACAGCTTTTTAAAAAGTAAAACAAAGACCTAAGTTTTAAATAATTACATAGCACCACCTTAGCACCGTTTGTAAAACAATAGAAAGTGCAAGTGTATCAAGTGCGGCCAGCTCTGACAAACCAACTTTAATCTAACACCTGTTCTGACAGAAACAGCCACATGAAGGGACTTCACAGCCTGAGCTCCCCAAAATGAAGCTGGAGTCATTTTGCCTATTATGGGGAACAACCTTTAGATGGAAATGCAGACAACTCACATCCATTTGAGAAGATACTTTATCTTGAGGGATGGTTTGGCCATATTGGAACTGATCCTCTTCCTAGCTTAGGGAGGGGGGGAAGACCAGGCCAGTCTTTAACCATAAGCAGTTCTTCATACTCCCAACATCTTGATCCTTCAAGGGTCTTTAGGGCTCAGTAGCTTGTAACATCCAAGACAGCAGAAATACACGAGATAATAGGCCACACAGCTTATACTTAAAAATGCACAAATTCCAGAGGTAGTGTTAGCACCTGCATATAGTCACTTATACTGCTACTGCTGTTTTACCTTTCTGTGCAATTCTGTGTTTCTATGATGCTTAGACAAAGAGATTTTTCTGCTCAGGCTAGGTCTTCAGAGCACCACTGTGATGCTGGCAGTACATTTTATAAATCAAAATAGAGCCTGAATAAATTACTGCCATAAGAGAATCTGGGGGAGTGGGGGCAGGAAAAGGAAGGGAAAGTTAAGAGTTTTCATGTAGAAAAGTGTCTGACTGTGCAACAGAAAACATCTGAAATGAGAGAGAAAAGCAAGTACTAGAAGAATAAAGCAAAGTGAATCTGCAAACACAGACACTGCATGACTCTCAACAGCAGCAGCACATAGCTCTTCTTCCCTAAAGTGGTCACAGCCTGATGGATTGACCTGAGGACCAGGACACACAAAGACTCAATACAGTACTGGGAGTACTGCATCCAGCTCTGGAGCCCCCAACAAAAGAAGGATGTGGACCTGTTGGAACATGTCCAGAGGAGGGCCATGAAAACGGTCAGAGGGCTGGAGCACCTCTCTTATGAAGACAGGATGAGAGAGTTGGGGTTGTTCAGCCTGGAGAAGAGAAGACTCTGGGGAGACCTTCCAATACCTGAAAGGGGCCTGTAAGAAGGCTGGGGAAGACCTGTTCACTATGGCATGTAATGATAGGTCATGGGGCAATGGTTTTAAGCTAAAAAGGGTAGGTTTAGGTTGGACATTAGGAAAAAGTTCTAAAGAACTACGTGAGGGTGGGGGATCTCTGAAACAAGTTGCCTAGAGAGGTGGTGGAGGCCCCATCCCTGGAGACATTCAGGGTCAGGCTTGATGGGGCTCTGAGCAATCTGCTCCAATTGGAGATGTCCCTACTTATTGTAGAGGGGTTGGACTACATGACTTTTAGAAGTCCCTTCCAACACAGTACATTCTATGATTCAATGAGTCGATGATTTTCCAGCATGGCTGGTGAACTTCCTTGTGGAAAGGTAGGACAGGTCCTTCCTTGCCCTCTTGTGCCTTAGCTTCCCCACCTGTAGAAATGGGTATGAGGATACTAATCTCATTTGTAAAGTGCACAAATGTCATACTGAAGAGAATGCCTTATTATTTCTTTCAAGGAGCAAAGCACTTTGTGCGGGAAGTGATCTCACATGATCCTTGTGGCAGTAATTATATTCTGTTCTAAAAAACCAACTCCTGCTCCATCTTAACTGTAATCAGCCCGTTTTTCCACCTCACTGACACAAAGGAAGAAAATTACTTTAGAGGTCAAAACTAGCCTAATTCATAGGCTGAGTATTTGAAACACACAGCACAAAAAAATCCAAACAAGACACACTGGCTATAATAAGAAAATAAGAAATTCAACTCCTCCAGCACACAGTGTCTATCTTAGCCAGAGACAAGGAAAAAGCCTCCTAAATTATGGCACTACAGAGCCACTGCTCCCTTCTCCTTCCTCATTACTACTCTTTCTTCAAAAGACCCAACAGAAACATGGTCCTCAAACCTTGAATGGATCTCAAGCCTCAGGTGAGAAAACCAGCAATGGTTTACTTTCCCCATGTGGAGTTACTCCTCATTACCAGCATTTAGCGCCAAACAAACCATAGCCAATACACTATTTCTCATGTTAGGCTTTATTTGAATGAAGCTTAACACAACAACAGCAACTCCATTATGCAGAAAGCCCTGTGTAGCACTGACCTCACCAAACACATGCAATTCCCACCGAACACATGCAATTCTGTCTAATTCCATATTCTCTTGCTCCTTCGGAACAATCCTCAGATTTGCCTGCTTACCCGTTCACTTTTTCATAAGTCTCCACACACGGCAATGACAAAGAAGAGACAGAAAAGAGCAATGGGCAAAAAAATCTGAACAGTTTTTGTGTCTAGTGATAGATGGATGGCACAAGGTTAAGTGATGCAGGGCCAACAACTTGAAGAAAACACAAATTATTCCACAACAGAAATTACTGATTTTTAACCAAGAGGTCCCATCTAATTTGCAGGGGTTCCGGAACAAGTTTAGGATTTACCTCAAACAATACACTGTATAGGATCACACTGCAAAGCAGCAGCTCACTTGCTTGCTGTATGTACCTTACTGTGTTACCTCAGATTATTGTCCATCATTTTCTAACCTCAACTCTTGAGCAGTTTGTTCTTGAAACTTTTACATGGTGAGGCAGTAGTACTCACACTGAAATAAAACTGAATGCTGTTGCTGAATACTGACAGCTCTGAGTATGTCCCTCTTTCACATACTGCTATAGAGCCATCACCAACAACTTAGTTTCAAGTGTGAAAATCCCTGTATACATCTATTTAAGTAGCTCTTTTATCTTAAGTAGCATATTCAACAAAAACTACTTGGTATTTTGAACAGCATGAGAAACAAATTCTGTGATTTCTTTTCAGTTTGGGACAAATTAGGCCATTTCCCAAAACCTTATATATGATGGTTATTTATACAGCATGATCATTACAGCAAAGTCAGAACTTTTCACAGCACTCGTTTGTCAGAGCCACTCAAGGGCTCAAGTTGTGAAAAAGTTCATAGTAACAGCTCTATTCCTTTTGTACAGAAAGACCCAGATAATGAAACAACAGCATTATATGACACAAATTATACAACACACAACATCACTTAACAAGTCAGTTCTAAAATTGCTCAGGGAGGGCTTTTCCTTAAAAACACACCCTCTGGGTCCTTAGAAACAGGATAATGCCTTCCCTATGCACCCTTCTCACTTTCAGTAAAAAAAACACTCTTGCATTTAATTTCAGATGTTGATGATTTGAATAAAATTAAACTAAGAGCATGACAATCAGGAAATTCAGATCCATCATTCTCTTTCTCCAACACAATACTAATATTCTAATATGCACACATCTATCACTCAGATCCATTAATTTAACAAATTACTAATCCTTCTTTCCTCTCATCTTCAATTTGCAGTTTATGAGGTTGATATGGAAGCACTTCTTGACAATACAGGGAAAAACTGCAGGAACGTTTAACAGATGAGAGGAAAACTCTTTATCTAATGTTGAAGTGTTCCACATAGTGTGGAAGAAAAGTTCACATAGGTCATTTGTCTCATTTACACATGCATAAAGGTCACTCAGGTAATTTTACAGATCTGGATTACATGACATTGCATCAAATGGAGTAGTTGATGTGCTGAATGGCAGAGCTTGAATCCAAAGGAACCTTGAAAAACTGGAAGACTGAGCCAGCAGAAACCTCATGGCATTCAACAAGAAGAAGCACAAACTTTTCCAGTTGAGAGGAAACAACTCCATGCATCAGGACAGACTGGGAAGCAAATTAAAAGATTTAGGGTGATGTTGGAAATCAGGCTGAGTAAGAGCCAGCCCCACACTCACCCTGTGCATACAGCAAACTCTACTCCAGACCGCATTTGGAGGGTCATGGACAACACGTCCAAATAAGCCCCCCCTCACCCTTTGGTCAGCACTGCTGGGACCACACCTGGAATAGATTGTGGCCAGCTGTGGGAACTCGGTTCAGTAGGGATCTGGAGAAAGAGAAGAGGGACTGGCATAGGTGAAGGACCACAAACAAAGGACTTGTGATGAGAACCTGACAGGAGCAGGGCTTTGGTTTTGCAGACAAGAGGCTATGGGGAGATGTCACAGCAGCTTACAACTTGAAAGACAAAGATGACACAGCCCCCCCCTTCTGAGCAGTGCCAGACAGTAACACAGGGGGTAACACCCGTGAGTTACTTGTTATGAGGTTCAGGTTGGACATGAGGAAGTATTTCCTTCACAGGAGAGTGGCACAGCACTGAAACACACAGCCCAGAGAGAGCAGGGATTCCCCATTCTCAGAGGTTTAGAGGACTTGACTAGACTCAGCCATGGCTGACCTGATACGGTGACAGCCCTGCCTCACTTGTGGTACATGCCTATGGAGGATTCTTGCAAACAACATATTTTACACATCTAACACCAGTTAGCCCATTCAGTGGGGCCAGGATACCACCCAGATGACACTTATTTAAATGTATTTTAATTATTTAAAATGGAAGAAGCAGGTGTAGCCAGGTTCAAGCATGCTACTGGATGCACTCTGAGCATATGGCAGTATGAGCATATGCACTCTGAGCATATGGTAGTACTCCATCAATCCAGCCCCAAACAGAAATTCCTATTGCAACTGCTCTGGACTATAATGACTTTAGTTTGAAGCATTTTACAAAGCACTCTTAACTCTTCAGAGCCTAAATGTCAAGGTTTCATTATAAACTTCATATCAAAGTTCTCAAAATACAGCGTACACTGAGAACACTGATAAGATACTGTAACCTTCAAGTGATTTCACAGCCTTTCTCAACACACAACTTCTGCTGTTGCTGTTTCTAATGTTTTATGGTTCTTACGGGAGAGGCCTTGCCCTTCCAGACCACATAACATCACTTAGGAGAAAAGAGAGAAGGAATACTCGTGCTTTTAATTCTTTGTAATTAAGTTTCCTCTAGGCACTACCTATGAAAAGGGATAGCTGGCATGAAAAACCCTACAGTAGTGCAGAAGCAGTTTTCAAATGCAAATTCTGGACTTTCCAGACCTATGCCATATCAGAGTGAGATGTGAAATATCTCCATTAACATCTGAATATGTGACCAGAGGTAAGGCTATTTAAGTAAGCAGCATGGAAATACTGGTTTTCCTCCATTACCAGTGTATCTTATTGGGGAAAAAACAAAAAAAAGAAAGACGTGCAGAACCCCATGTTAAAACACATAGAAAGGTAATGAAAATTATTATACTCTCCAATCTCCTAGTTCTTTAAGTATTTTTATCTATAGGTGCCAGATAGATGCTGTGTACTGGAGAATTTTATCTGAAATAATTGAAACTAGAGAAGGGTGGAAAATAAGGAAGAAAGGAGGGAGAGTGATTCAGACAGACAGAGCTGTGCTTGGCTGTGACTAATGTCAGCACATGCTAAACACAGCAAATTTAGTGCATAACAAGCACCAAAACCACCAAGTTGTATCTTATAAACAACCAGATTCAGCAGGGTCTGTCCAGATCACTAAATGATTGAGGCCCTTGACCAAACTAAACAACAAATTAGTTTTTGCTTAGCTAGTTTTGGTTTTGGATGAAATGTCAAGTAACAGATACAATCACTGGGTTATAATTTTTGTTTTTAAACCAAGGGAAAGTATATTTAAACTTCTAATTCCTTCCAAGGCCATTCAGATTAAAAATTGGCTAAAATTGGTGTGATTTTGCCGAAGATTGTTACCCTGCGATCTTTTTTTTTTTTTTCTCTAGCTCTAATCAGTGCTGTGCTCAGAGCTCAGTGGGACTGTTCATGATGTCAAGCAGGGCTTTGCATCAGGCAAGGCAAATCTTCCCAGTCGGACAATAAATAGTCCACCCTCGTGGGAGGGCACAGGAGCCCCACAAACTGCCCTACCACCCTCCTTTGCACGGAGGAGTCAGAATCTAAAAGACACCCTAACCCATCACAGTGAGCAGAACAGGTACTTACAGCTCCGCATTGAAGTAGGAGGTGACATCAGGATCAGGCACACCTGCTACAGCAAAATTACTGCTTCCAGTGTCAACCAGAATATTTAACTGCCGAAACAGAAGAAAGGAGAGGTGTTTTTCATATACAGCTAAACAAACAAATTAGTCATTAACGTTTTTGTCTAAACTACCTTCAGTTTTAAACTAATAATGAAGTCTCCCAGAAAAAATAAATACAAAGTCATTTTTGGGAAAGATACACTGCTGGAGCCCCTGCAATGCTTTTAAATATTCATGTTCCTGGAAAGGGGAAAACCTGACAAGCTAATATGGGCACAGCAGAGGAACTCAAAGCCATCTCAAATGTCTTTGTGGCCCACGTGTCTCAGAAACCTGGCTCGTCCGGGTCACAGGCTGAATTGAGTACTGTTTAAAGCACTGTTTGCCCTAGAGCTTATGAGGTTTCTAGGTAGGTGCTGACTGCAAGTCCGAGCAGAAATAAACAGAAGCATGAAGCTGCCTCATGACTTGGAGAGTCATGGGAACATTGCCCAGCTCATCCCGAGTCGCAGCAACCTACCACAGCCTTGACTGCCTTATTTAAAGAGGAGGATGGCAGATTTATAAGTGCTGTTAAAAGCATGGACTGAAAGGTGGCCCAAAAGTGGGCCACTTGTTCGCTTAATTGGGAGGACAATTTAGACCAAAAATTACCTAACAAACCCAGACAGACAAAACGAGACGCCTCCTTTCCCCTTTTGGCTCAGGTCAGCAGGCTGGTTCACCACAGCTGCATGACAGCTTGTGCTGGCACAAAGCAGAAGGTAACAGCACAGGAGTGAGCAGCCAGATGCAAGAACACCTCTTTTGGCTAGACCTTGAAGCTACATAAAATGTAGTGTCATTAAATGACAATTTCAGTCAACTAGAGACTGTACTGCCACAAAAAGCAGTGGCCACACTTTTCCCTTGCACTTGGCTGGAGGCTTCCCATGTGTTCTTGGCATAAGCACTCACACCCATGGGGCTGTGATGCAAATCAGATCAGGCTCTTCACCTACAGTTCCCCCCCCCCAAAAAAAAAAAGAAAAGCAATCTGCCACATCAGACAGCTACCTGAAAAGAGATGGCAGGAACACATACTAGAAAAAGGGTGATTGCTCCCTTTGGTGATAGTGTAGTCTCAGATTGGCTTAAAACGGTTGTGAAATTATGCCCTAGGTTGCTCAGAAAAATAATAAAGCATTAAGAATTTTTCTGTAGGAGTGAGTAAGACATGAGGACTGGGCTGCCTGCAGTTTAAAGCCAGCTGGAACCAGGCACTTTGGTAGTCCTCACCACTCCTTTAAACATGAGGTAGTTTGGGATCTAGCACTGGAGGTGGACATGGGAAGGGTAAGAGAATGATAGGGTAAACAAGTTTCATGTCACTTCCTTGACGAAGGAAGTGGAGAAACAGGGCTGAGTTCAGAAACGAGAGTAAACACAAGGGCAGGTAGAGCATTTGGAGAAGATATGCCAAATCCTTCTCTAATAAGTTTAAGACCGAGCACAGACAAAAAAGTATGAGTTGATGTTAACAAATTTGGAGGGGGAGGGAGGAGATGGTTACCTTTGTTTTACCTAGTTAATACAATATGGGACTGAGGAGCTCAGACATAAAAACATGAACACAGAACCAAATAGTAAACCATATGACTCTCTTCTGAGTGTGCACACACACAGTTATTGGTATTCCAAGTCCTAATCACACAAATATTTTAAGAATAGAAAGAAACAAACCCACCACCATAGTCAAGTGTCTCACTGCATCCCAGATTTTATATTAACCACAGACAATATATTAACATTTATTTTGCAAGCACACGAGCTAGACACAGACATTTAAAAAAAAAAAAAAAAAAAGGACACTGGCAAATTCACCTGGTTCCAGGAGCTGAAGTTTTAAAACAAAAACCAAGAACCTCTGAGGCATGGCTTGCAATAAAATCCCAAGTTGGTTACATACTTTTATTTCAACAATATAAAAAATCAAACATCTTGTCAACTACCTAATGAAGTAAGAACTATTCATCCACCCCGCCCCCAGGATAGAAATCTTATTAAAAATAAACAAAAAGCAGCTACAACATATGCATCTACCAGGACCAACAAAAGTTGCCTCAAAGGGCTGCTGTAGGGCTTAAATTAATTAGCTTTCCCAAGGCAGTCTGTGATGCTTGAGTAATAGGTATTATACATCAGCTGCATAAATACATGTAGGTGTTGCTCTAACTTCAGTAATATGCATGACACCATACACGAAGGAGGACTTGGGAAAAAAACAACCAAAACCACAAATAAAAACCCAATCACTAAATATGACAGGTATGAAAGATATTTTACCCCCACACCTTAAACACGATGTTATCATCACAGAATTCACAAATCACTGAAAATAAAGGGCATATTTACTACCCACAGTGTGGAGCAAATCAGCATTTCCAAAAGACTGTAGATATCCCTCCCACAAAAAAACCCCAAAAAACAACAAAAAACCCCAAGAAATACAAAGTCAGCTAACCATGCAAGTGCCAGCACACCCGGACACAGCAACATTCACATGACAGATCACTATTGAGGCTGACATTCTCTATCCGCATGTTTGTGCATAATGAGATGCAGGCGGCCAGGGCAGACACTGATTTATTGTAGTCCTCACAATAGTTCCAGTGATTAGCAGCTCATTTTGGGCTGGGTATAACTTACTGAGTTCTCCTTCTCTCCTGGCTGCCCTTTGGGTCTGAATTTTCTTTAGTGCTTTCACATCTCATTAAGAACCACTTCCATGTTGTCACCACTGGAGCCTACTTTATTCCCCCCTGCCTGCTGCCGGTTTCATGGTGCTGTTGGGGCAGCTTCAGGCAAGCTCTGGTGAGTCACAGGGTGGCAGTTCAGGGCTTACCTGCCTTGCCCCATCTCCCGAGGTCAGCCCTTCCCTCTCCCAAGAGATGAAGGCAAATGCACTGTGCGCTCACTCCCCAGCTGCATTTCACTGCCCAGCTTACTGATGAAAACCAAAATCAATGGCACCTCAACTTGATTCACTGAGCTACGCACTTTGACAGATGGACAGTGGTTGTCCATCTCTGTGCCTTTACCTTCCTAGCACTGGGACAGAAGACCCTGATGCCAAGGCAGAGCCAGCAGTGGCAGTACCTTCCTCTCCAGCTGCCTCCTCACAAAGCCCCTGAGATGGTGAACCAGAGCAGTCGTGGGCAGGCGGAGCAGGTTCCTTGGATTTATTACAGCCACCTGGAATGAATCACTTCCCTGTCACGAAGAGCTGATTATTTAGTGATCACCCTGTGCTGTCAGAGATTGCCATGTGAAGTTAAGATGCTGCGAAAGCCAAGGTCAAAAAGACATGGCTGAATGAAGGAAAAACTGCCCAAAGACTGCTGACTGATCTTGTGCCCAGCATGAAAAACCATGAAAGACTACTTCCCATTCTCTTTTGGAGGCATAGGAGGGAAGCTAGGATTTTGGTTTTATTGTGGTTTCCAAGTTCAACTTCAGATTGATACAGGAGAAAGCAAATATAAAAGGCTGGTTTTTTTTTCCCCTGAAGGTCACCTTTACCACAGCTGTGAAAGATAAAATCTGCACCTAGTATCTTACCTGGAGATTGTTATGCTGGATACATTTCCTATACGGAAATAGCATTATTAATAATAAGAGGTTCATAAAGATCCCTGGCTACAGAGTAAGCAAGATAGGAACATCCAGTTCTGCCATGATCGAGTTAGAGGAAATCTGACTCCCTATGTATCTGTCATTAAGTTGTGCTTATAAAAAGAGACAAATCCAAAGCTCTTTACTGAAAGTTATGAACACTGAAAGCAGAAGGCTCCTTAGGCCATGCATTTTATACATTTTGTACTCTAACGGGGTAGACACTGAAAACTACCAATAGTAGTGATCTATTTCAACTAGAATGAAAACACATTTTGAATAGTTCAATGATCCCTCAAACTTTCCAGTGGTGGATTTAACACCAACGTCAAATAGCAATCACAGTATGCTACTCTTCTTCAGAAATTTCACTTACCACTATGTCTTTCATATTTTGAAGCTTTCCATTGCTGAATATTCTTATATTTTGATATATATATAAAAAAATGACTATTGATTTGTCTTTTTTTTTTCTTTTTTTTTTTTTTTTCAGCAAAGCCTCATCTGTCTGTGGTTCAGGCACCTGGCTTGTGTGTTACAGCAGGTGGCGTCAATACCACGTCATCAACATTTGGCATTATCCACGCCTCATTTAACTGCCTGGTGAACAGTAGTTTCCCACCATGCATTCAGAAAGTGACTTCCTTCATATTTTCAAGGAAAAGTGATAAAATGTAGGAATCATTCAATTTCTGTTGTATAGAGGTTGCTAGTATCCTCTAGCAGGGACAGATATTGCCTCTGTTCTGACTTACAACCTACTCAGACTCCATCTAAGTTTCTCTTTCTTGTTTTAGTTTGAGGTCAGAATATTTGGTAACTTTCAGAAAAATATACAAAACAAATCCCAGGAGCTACAAATGCATAATGTGTTTTCTTTGAAGCAGCTCTCTGCGTGATTTAGCATATACAGCCTTTTCCAGGTGTGGAATCCTCGGGCTTGCATGCAACCCTGTCGCGCTGTTGCTTTTGATGTGATTCCCTGGGTAACACACACTGAGCTAGTAATAATCTTCCTGCCTGTTGTTAAAAGACTGGCCCAAGATAAAATCCACTGCAGTTTTTTTCAAGTTAATGGGTCTGATCCTTTTAGGTCAAACAATAAAGTTTCACCACTGGACAGAAGAAACCAGACTGCAAAAACGTATTTGGGTCCTTATCCCTGCTTCAGCTAAAGCATAAGGGAGGGGAAAAAAAAGGAGTAAGATTTGAACAGATAGAGACATAATATAATAATCAATCTTATTCAGCCTTACGTTTGCTCTGGGGTTCAGTCAGTCTTAATGATAGACAACTGATAGTTTCAACTGCACAAGCCAACAGACCAAAGAAGCTGGCTCTGCAAGAGTTCATTATGACAACTACAAGCGACCATGCCTTCTCTGGGATTTCAA